GCAGTGGCGCATGCCTGTAATCCTAGCACTTTTGGGAGGCCAAGGCGGGTTGGAATATTTGAGCTCAGGAGTTGGAAACCTGCCTGGGCAACATGGTGAAACCTGATCTCTACCAAAAATACAAAAATTAGCCAGGTGTGGTGGAAAAAGCCTGTGGTCCTAACCACCCGGGAGGCTGAGGTGGGAGGACTGTTTGAGCCTGTGAAGTTGGGCTGCAGTGAGCTGATGCTGCACTACTGCACTCCAGCCTGGATGGCAGGGCAAGATCCTGTCTAACAAAGAAACAAACAAACAGAAAAGATTCGTTTTATGATCCACAATGTGATCTATTTGTTCTGATTACTGACAAAGGCAGGCTGGGTCTCCAGTTATAACTGCTGATTTGCCATTTCTGTTTTCAGTTCTGTCAGGTTTTGCCTCCTGGATTTTGAAGCTGTGTTGTTAGGTGTATAGATGCTTAGGATTGTTATGTGTTCTTTGAAAATTGACCCTGTTATCATTATGCAATGTCCCTCTCTATCCTTGGCAAATTTCCTTGCTCTGAAGTCTGTTTTGTCTGATGATATATAGCTAGTCCAGGTTTCTTTTAATTAGTATTTGTGTGATATATCTTTCTTTTGTCCTTCCATTTTTAATCTATACTATTTACTTAAAATGAGCTTCTTATACATATAGTTGAGTCTTGAGGTTTTTTTAGTTTCTTACATTCAGCAATCTCTGCCTTTTTATTAGCATATTTCAACTTTTTAAATTTAATATAATTGTTATCTTTGGATTTATGTTTAATATTTTATTGTTTGTTTTCTATTTGTTCTCTATTTTTCCCTACATTTTTCATTCCTGTTTTGACTTTTCTGCCTTCCTGTGGGTTATTTGAATTTTTTTGAATTCCATTTTAATTCACTGATTTTTTAAGTATATCTTTTTGTTTAAGTTGAAAATGTAGTTGCTTTAGGGATTACAAAACACCTAGCTTTTCATAGTCTAATTAGGATTAATACGTTAGTGCTTCAAATGAGATGTAGAAACCTTACTATCATATAGACCTTTGTCCCCTTTTATGTTGTAATTTTTACATTTATTGCATCTACAGTCATTGAAAATTCCATCAATGTTACCTTCTGCTTTCACTGGTTACACATAGTGTAAAGAACTTAAGATGACAAAGATAACCTATTATATTTACCAAAATATTTATCATTTCTGTTGCTCTTCATTTCCAAAGTTTAAAATTTCCCTCTGGTATAATCTTTCTTCTGTCTGAATAAATCCTTTTCCTTTATTTACAGCAGGTCTGATGGTCACAAATTCCTTTAAGTTTTCTTCAACTAAGAATGTTTTATTTTGCCTTAATTACTAAGAAATATTTGCGTTGTATATAGAATTGTGGCTTGGAAGTTCTTTTCTTCCAACCCTTTAGACATAGTCTGCTGATCTCTGGCTTCTGCAGTTTCTGAGGAGTTGTTTGAATAATTGTTTCCCTACATGTGATGTGATGTTTTTCTCTGGATGCTTTTAAAGATTTTTCTTTGTCTTCAATTTTTAGAAATTTGATTATGATTTGTCTGGCCATGGGTTTCTTTTATCTTGCTTAGGGTTTGCTGAGATTCTTGAATCTACAAGTTTGAATTTAGCCAAATTTGGTAATTTTTCATCCATTATTTCTTCAAATATCTTTTTCTGTGAGACATATTTCCTCCTCTCCTTATGGAACTCCAATCACGAAGATGTTAGAACTTTGTGTATTGTTCTGTAAATCTGCAAGGCTCTCTCTTTTTCCTAATATTTTTTTCTCCCTCTTGCTCAGATCGGACAATTTCTGTTGATTTATATTCAAGTGTAGTGACTCTTTCATCTGTCATCATTGTCCTCCTATTGAGACTATTCAGTGACTTTTAAAACTTCCATTTGTCTCATTTTTCAATTCTGAAGTTTCCATTTGGAGACTTTATTTGTCTTCTATTTCTGCTGATGCTTTTTAAAAATTTGTTTCACGATGGTTTGTCTTTACTTCTTGGGATATGATTTTAATATATAATTTAAAGTTTTTGTCTCTGCCGAGTGCGGTGGCTCATGCCTGTCATCCCAGCACTTTGGGAGGCTGAGGCGGGCAGATCGCTTGAGCCCAGGAGTACACGACCAGCCTGGGCAACATGACGAAACCCCGTCTCTACTAAAAATACAAAAATTGGCCGGACATGGTGGTGGGTGCCTGAAATCCCAGCTGCTTAGGAGGCACGTTCCTGTAATCCCAGCTACTCGGGAGGCTGAGGTGGGAAGATTCTTGAGCCCAGGAGTGTCTTCAGGAAATTGTGAGGTTCTCTGTTCTTTACAAGTCAAGTAATTATGCACAATATCCTGAACATTCAAATGCTATGTGATGAGAATCTGGGCCATGTTGGAAGCCTATGTTTTTGCTTTAGCAGGCAGTCGTCCTGGTTAGGTTCAAGTTCCTACCTGCCTCCTGCGGGCTGTGGTTCAGTGTCAGTTAAGCTTCAGATCCGTCCCGTGTGTGCGCCACCCAGTGGCAGTGGTTTGTCCCACGGTTCAGTTCTCAAAGCCTTTGGTCAGATCCACACAGGTAAAGCCTGGGTGTTAGCCCAGGAGTTTATATACAACTTTAGGGCATTGCCTTCTTACCTTCCCTCATTGCTGAAATCTCAACACTTTACAGTCTCAGGGGTGTCTCTTTCCATTCCTCTGGCGGGCAGATCGGTTTAAGTCAGGGTTTTAACTGTACTGCTCTGCTCTACAGTCTCTGTGACTGTGTCTGCCTCCACGGCCAAGCATGGAAGGATGTATGGAGAAGAAAAACGCCATGGGCATGCTTCCCTTGCTGCTGGGACCCTTCTTCCCCTGCCAGAGAGATGAGTTTCCTTCCCTTGAAGTTTTAGGCACCTGCCAGGCTGCCACTGTGCAGTGCAACTGCCTAGGGGCTGGTGTGGAGAAAAGCGACAGCAAACAGGACTTCCCTGCTTTCTCTGACATACAGGGGTGCTGCACTCTCTCCTAGGGTCAGGAACAGAGGCTCAGAGCTCTTTGTATCTGCAGCTAGGATGCAATTCCAGGTTTTGGCAAATCTTTGAGTCCAGGCCAGGGGATCCCAGAAGGGGAATAAAATGGCAGATTGCCCCTTTGGTGGTGTTTCAAGTTCTCTTTTGCTTCCTTGATCTTCCTGCTACTATTTTGTTTTCAAAGCTAACTGCTCCATGCCTGTGGTCCAGGATTCATAGTTGCATTCAGTGGGAACAAGATGCAGTATGACTGGAATGAGAGATGGATTTTTATTTAAAAAACAAAAGCATGGATTTTATGACCACTGGTAATTTTTTTTTCTCACAATCCTTGCATAAACTTGGTTAAATTTATTCTCAGGTATTTTATTATTAAACTTTTTATTAAAAATCAAATTGGTTATTGCTGATATATAGAACAGCCACTGATTTTGGCATATGTACTTTGCAGCCAGCTGCCTTACAGAACTTTTATTGGTTTCATTACTTTCTGAATTGATTTTCTTGGTTTTCTGCATGCAATAATTTGTGAATTCAATCACTCAGGCTCATTTTCTGCAAACAATGATAATTTTGAAGCTCTTTTTGAAAAAAAAAACTCTGAAAATTTTGATTTTGGTTTATTGAATCACATGGCCATTAATTCTTGTACAGTATTAGGTATATTGGTGATATCATTCTTGCCTGTCTTGGTTCTGAGTCTTTTAGGGAAGTCCCTGTTGAGATATATATTTTATTATGCTAATGAATTACCTTTTTGAACTTTTTCTGCCTACTGCTCTGAAAATTCAAGGAAATAAATACCTGACATTTACTGAGTGTCAGAAGCTGTTCCAAGAACTTTCTATGTATTAACTAATTCAATCATCATAACATCCTTATGAAGTAGGCACTTTTATCCCCATTTTACAGATGAATAAGGCATGGAGGAGTTAAGTAACTTTCACAGGTAGGAAGCTGCACAGCCAGGATTTAAACCCAAGCTCTTAACCACTGTACTATACCAATGAAGCAAAGGCTGAATGAGCCAGAGTATTTGATTTACTTAGCTCTTACGCTGGAAAGATGGTGAGGTTTTGCTCATGGCCTTTATTCATACACAAATGCCAAAATCAAGGACACCTTTGCATCAGTGCTCTACAGGAGGTTTCTTTTTTTTTTTCGTTCAGAGAGAGGGTCTTACTCTGTTGCCCTGGCTGGAGTGCAGTACTGCAATCACAGTTCACTGCAGCCTCAAAATCCACAGCTTAAGCACTCCTCCTGCCTCAGCCTCCTGAGTAGCTGGGACTATAGGTGTGCACCACCACACCCAGCTAATTTTTAATTTTTTTTTTTTGTAGAGACAAAGTCCCATTACATTGCCTAGGTTGGTCCAGCATTCCTAGGGCTCAAGTGATCCCCCGCCTTGGCCTATTGGGATTACAGATATGAGCCATGGCACCCAATCTCATAAGAGGCGCTTTTCTTGATTTCTGGAAGCAGGTAGGAATTAATGGTTTTATTTTTCACTGGTGACAAAAAAGGTTCAAAGAGCAAGATAAGCAATGTCTCATAATGCTGTAGTCTAATGGACAAAGGCCCTAGTCATCTGTGCTGAATGACTCTTCCTCCCAATTTTTAAGTAGTTAAAAACTAACTTAGAATTTGGCATTCTGCATTAGAATTATGAATCAGTGGGGTTATCTGCTGGTTTTCATCAGCATAAGTTGTTTTTATTATCTGTGGCTTCCTTTCCCCACAGCAGCTTTCCGGAGGCACCTGCGCAGGCATCTGAGAGGAGCTCTTGTCCTCTGGTGTCTGTATACCTGCGATGCTGCAGAGAAGAGAATCAGCATACTGCCTTGGTTCTTCTTCTGCACATGAACATTAACATCCACATCAGGATTTGGAAACCTTTACAGAGGCTAAGGTTTTAAAAAGAAAATGAATGGGATTTTATTCAAGATAAGCAAAAGATAACCGTGAATCATCAAATGAAACCATGAGGCCACTTCACAAATGTTTTATAAAAAACTCACCTGAGAAAACTCAAAGAATCATAGTAATAAGCTATATATGCCATATTTTTCCTTTTCTGAAAATGCCAAGAAGCTACTACTACGATGTATTCAAGAGAAGGAAGTTCCAAGACTCATCACAGGGTCAGGCGGGCTCAACTTAGTTTCCTGGGCCCTCTATAACACTTCATGTTCAGAGTTATCTCCAAAGAAGCAATTTAAAGGCATCCAATTTCAGTGTCTTTGCTGTGCTTACAGTCTTAATTCTGTGGAAACTGATATTCTATCAATGGAAAACTGAGCCTTTAGTGAACTTTAATACTCTGTTCCCCCATCACTGCCCAGAGAGCAGTTTCTGAGCCTCCAACAACATATCAGAGGCAGGAAAAGAGCAACTAAAAGGCAAAGGAGAAAAACGGAAGACACATGCCTTTAAGCATGTATTTTAAGCTAGATACGATGATTAAATATCACCAAAACCCATTTTTTGTATCTTCTTAATTGTCCCACATCAAAGTATGGAAAACTTTAATTTGTTCTTATATATCCCTACATTCCTAATTGAAATCAATTCCAATAAATTGTAGGTGTTCAATAGAGAAAAGTAAAATTTAAATATATGTATTCAGTAGAAATTACTTTCATAACTTTTGGGGGCATTATCAAAATATAATTTGAAACTCCTCTTTGTAACCAACTAAATTAACCAGATCATCTTTTCTTAAAGGCACAAATTAAGAGGTGGCGAAACAACCATAATTTAGTGTGTGGGCTCACAATCTCCAAAAGGGCATCAGGAAATTTAGGAAGTCGATGTTGTGGCCTAGGCTAAAGGGTCCTACTTTCTGGGAGTTAACTCTGGTTATTGGATTGTGGGAGGGGAAGTGTGGCAGAGAAGGCCATCAGCGGGAACACGGGCACTCCAGAAGCTCAGAGCAGAAGCTCCTTATCAACTGTGAGGAACTGTCAGTAACCTTGTATCCTGCACGGCTGCGCCAGTACAAACTGGCTGAACTGCAGCTCTGCTTGCAGCTTTCTAGAAATACAACTTGGTAACAACAGGAGATTGTGGTCACACTATTTCTCTTTAGTTTATTACACAATTACAGACATAATATACAATACTGTAATTCCTAAATCCTACCTTTTTTTTTTTTTTTTCTGAGACTAACTGCACTCAAAGCCCCCCTGTCTGCTTGGCCCATAATACAACCTGACTCCTGGGCTCCTGGATGCACAGGTCAAAGGTTCCAACAAGCCTGACCATGGCCAGTGCTGCGGAGCCACTCTGTGAAAATTTAAATCACTGCTAAGTCATTCTAAATAAACAGTGAATGGATTGTTTCTGCCCGTAAGATGAAATCCCACGTACCTTTTGCTCAAGCTCAGGTCTTCCTATTGCCACCTTCGACATCTATAAAGTATGGTGGGATCTTCACTGATTTGTTAACCCTGGGAGTGCCCCTTGTGATCCAGATGAGTCAAAACAAACAGCCAGGATCTCTTCTAAAAAGCCCATGATGGCCCCTCTGGCTGTGTCTCCAGTCGGTGCCTGGACATTGCCCATGTGCTTCAGGGCCATCCTGACCATTTGATCTCTTTCCTGTAGGCTGGGGGGTGCTCCGGTGCCCTCTCCCTCTGCTCCTGATTTTAAAAACTGTAGGATATAGGATTGGACCATATTCCCATTCAGTTCAAGGGTTTCTTTGATACAAGGCAGATCTGAGGAACTGGCCAAACTCAGGAGGTGAATCAGTGCCTGGCAGATTTGGGTCCGTAGGCTGGCACAGTACTTGAATTCCAAAAAGTCTGTGGTGTCTTCGCTCTTCTGTAAGGCAGTGACCAATGCATTCCAGATCCGAGCATACTGGTCAACAGACCCATACTGCTCTCTCTTGCCCGGGATGGAAAGGGCAGCAGCAGATCTGATGCGCACTTTGAAGTTCTTGCACGATGTCACGACCGATGTCAGGGCGTTGTAGGCCTGGGAGGTCCATGGGGCTGTTCCTAGAAAGAATCCAGTCATTAAAACATATGCAGGCTTAGAAATAGAAGGGCAGAAGGAAGCATAAACACTAGTGCTCAAGACAGTCATTTTATGTGTTCACTTCATTCTCACAATCATCCTGTAAGATCAGAGTGGTGACTGACTGTAGAATCCTAGGTAAGTGCCCAGGTGTCAATCTCCAAACCTCCCTTTTTCCCTGTTATCAGCCTGCCACATGCTTAGAGCCTCTGCTACCCAATATAGGGCCTTTGGTGATCCAGAAAAAGGCTTCTTCTCTGGGAGGATTCTGTCCCATGGGGTAAGGCTTCATGGCAGAGCATGGACTGAACTGCAACCCCATCTGTCTTCTCAGTTGGGCACTTCTGAGCAGTGTGCACATCACACACTGCATGTGGCGGCCCTGTTCATGCAGCAAAAAGAATTATTTCCTCACTCACAGCAGCATCCAGACACTGCTCTGGCCATAGCAAATCACACATTTTATTGCAAAGAAAAAAACTTACAATTTCAAGAAAAAGACGCCCAGATTTCTATCTTTTCTCCATTCTTGTAGGCCCTAGGAAACCAGACTACTTTCCTCCTTACCAGAGCTACTGCTACCCACTCCATTTTGGGGTGTCCTTACTCAAGACGGGTGACAGAGTAGAATGCAGCTTCTCTTAACTCTCCTAGCCCTTTCCTGCTTCTCTGTTGCCTCCGAAGACAAGCGAGCAGGCCCTTTCTATTTGGTAGATGTTGCTGCCATTGACAATGGGCCACTGCTAGAGCTATGAGACTCTCACACTCCAACCTGTCAGTCACAGTCCTTTGTCAGTTTCTGGCTCCCCTTTCTTATGTGTCTCCTAATAGCTCTGCTATGGATGCTTTCTAGCTCTCAAACTTCCTGCCTCTTTGGAGCTTCCCTTTCCTTCCAGGTCATGCAGTCCCTGTCAACTTCTCTCTCTCTAGTAGGCTGAGGGCAAGAGCCAGATAGGACGGCAGGTAGGAGCCAACCACCATTGAGGTGCCCTGGTTTCAAGGACCTCTTGGCTCTCCAGAAGGCAGACATTTACCTCAGTGAGCCCCAACCCCAAAGGTCACCCTTAGGTGACTTCCTAAGTAGAAGAAGCCAGGAGGCTACTTCTCCACATGCTCCCAGCTGATTGGCCTGCCTGGATGCTCTGGGCAATAACAGGGAGCAGAGCCAGACTCCCCTTGCTTGATGCATGCTCTCCTCTCCAGGAACACATCCTTAGGTTTCAGATCTTCTGAGAGAGAGAGAGAGAGAGAGAGAGAGAGAGAGATGCAATAAAGTGAATGCTGGCATTCAAAGTGAGCAAGATTTGGAGGCTCTGATCCATACAACTAAGCAGCTGCTGGTCCTGAACGACACCTCTAGGTGCACCGCACACCACTAATTAGAGACAGATGCCCTCCTTACATTTATTAATGGCATCCACTCTGTACACAGTTCATATGGGATTTCCAATTTATATCCCCTCTCATTCCAGTTTTTTCCTTTATTTTTTCTTGACTTTATTAAAACAATATATGCTATTGTAGACAATTAGGAAAATGAAAACAGAAAAAATTCTGCTCATCCAGAGGCAATCACTGTTAATAATTAGGACAATTTCCTTTCAGTCTTTTTTCTATCCATCTATTGAGATCATTCTGTAGAAATGACTTACTATCTATTTTCGTTTAACACCAGAAGTATTTTTCCAGATTATCAAATTCTTGTAAGTAATTTTAAATGGCAATAAACTATCCCATTATATATTACCCATAGGTAATGATGTATTTCAATGTTCCCCTAAACTTGTTTTCAGTATGTCTCCATTTTTTCCTAATACTATGACGTACAACATGTGACTAACGTCTTTAACAACAATGTAGATTGGTGTGTGCTGTCCCAAGAAGCTTTCCACCAGGGAGAAAAGGGAAACTTTCTTACCTAATGGAAGGGCAGGATTTTTAAAAACATTTCCCATTGCATAACAAGCATTCCATCGGACTTTCATGGCAGCTTCTGTTAGAACAGTGGAAATTAGGGCCTGGATAGACTCCTCAATGATTTCTGCAAATGTGGGTTTTTCTACATGAGAGCGTTGCAGAAAATGAAGCAAATTTCCAAGGGCCCGGACAGCATTGCTTTTTACCTAAAAAAAAAATGTAAAGGCTTTAGAAATCTGTTAAGCCAGAGAGATGTTTCCAAAAGACTAATTTCAGCTTTAAAAAAAACCCAGGAGGTCCTAGACTTCTTTTTTTTTTTTTTTTTTTTTTTAAAAAGACGGGGTTTCACCATATTGGTCAGGCTGGTCTTGAACTCCTGACCTCAGGTGATCTGCCCGCCTTGGCCTCCAAAGTGCTTGGATTATAGGCGTGAGGCACCACACCCAGTGCTTTTTTGTTTTTTTTTTTTTTTAAGGTCCTAGACTTCTTAAAGCAAGTCCTTGGAACTCTGCAAGGTCTTGTCTGGTTAACATTCTGAACCATCAGAAAGGTGAAGGTTCTACAAAACTCTTCTGATTATTTAATTATGTTATTTAGTGTTAGGACCTCAGAGAGGGCCATCTTCCTTGTTTTACTGAGATGGAGTATAAGGACCAGGGACAACAGGACAAGGTTGGTTTATAGCACGGCGAGGAGGAGAGGCTAGGTTCCATAATTCCAGTCCAATACTTTTCTACTGGACTAGCCCACCAGAATCATTTGGGGGAGGCTTTTCCTTTGGTTTTAAAACCAATTCACAGGCCCTAACCTCAGAACTTGTGAGTGAATTACTCTGGATAGGGCTTCCTGGGTGTTACCAGATTTTCAGAAGTAGTATTAAAGTGAGCACATAATATGGGTCAGGTACTGTGCTAGGTGCTTTAACATAAGGCATCTTTATATTCAGTGAGGTATATGCCACAACCTCCACGTTACAGGTGAAGAGCTGACCTTCAAAGAAGTTACATATAACATATCAAAGTCACCTAGTTACTAAAGGGCAAGCCAGGGATTGAATCCCTGTATGTCTGACCTAAAGGTCAGGCCTATGCTTTTTAAACTTATTAGTTTAACAGGTAATATTCAAAGCCAGGAGCTACTCATCTTTCTGAATTGCCAATTCTACTTAAAGATTTTTTTTTTGAATTAAAAAAAAAAAAAAAAACAAGAAACAACAACAACAAAAAACCAGTTAATTTTAAAAGGAACCTGAATATGTCATATAGTATGACGATGGGCACTGATACTTTTCAGGAGGCAGGAGGCAGGAGACAGTAAAGAAACTGTACATGTGTGGAGAGGGCCATTTATAGCACTGAGCACACCCTCAATTTGAACAGGGGTAACATTTGGTGGGAAAGTCTGAGGAACATCAAGCCACACTAAGCCACCACACTACAGCTACAATACATTAAGTATCTATTTGAGAGATACTGGGTTTTGTTGTGAGTTTACCTTGTCTTTATCCTTGGATGCTTCTATAGCTGATCGTAACATTTTCAAGAGCAGAAGACCAGAGAACTCTTCCTGGAAACTTGGGTCTGGTGTTTCCCTGTTCCACCCAAAGCAGGCAAACATGTTAAAAGGTAAATGTACTTAAATATATACATATAAAAATATATTCACTTAGTATAACCATACAAAATTTAGGAAAACAGTTTAACAAATCTGTTTAGATTATACCAAGAAACTTACAGTATGTATCTTTCAACCCGATAGTCCCACACCTAGGAATGTCTCCAAAAAAATCTCAAAATCCAGATATCATGCACAAAAATATTCACCGAATATAAAAGCCTACAAGCGTAAAGCCTAAAACAAACGTTCAGTAATAGAAAAATGATTAAATCATCATCACACAGTGATAGTTATGTAACCATACATAAGGATTTATAACAAGTCAATAATAAAAGAGAATGCTTACACATTTTACATGTCACTTACACAGTGAAATGACAAAAAGCAGGACACTTGCGCATGAATAAGAAGCTACCTCTGGGGAAGGGAACCAAGGTGTCAGGGTAGAAGAAACGTTTCACACTGAACACTGCTTTGTACCATTTGGATTTTTTTTTTTTAGTCTGTGAATATATTACTTTAAGAAATTTTTAAAAATGTATTTTAAAAGCACAGTATCCATTACTAAGGTTTTGCTTTTATGTTTTCTATAATGTGGACATATTACTTATATCGGCATACAATGTCTTAATGTATTCCTAATATATGTTAAGAACAGCTTATTAATTTTATTTTCTGAAGGAATATAAACTAAAACAAAGCAGGAAGAATGACTGCATAATATGGGGGAACTACTGCTGATTCTTTCATAGTAGCGATTGAGGACATTCTCTTGGGACCTTAGTCTCAGAAATCAGCTGGGGAAAGCAAGCTGAGCCACCTACATGTTGACAATCAGAGTGTCTGTCAGGTTGCCTAGGGACCAGGCTGCTTTGGCCCGAACATTCAGAGACTTGTCTTCAAGTGACATCAATATCGCGTTTGCTGTGTCTGCAACAAATATGACATCCTGTAAGACAAAACACAACACTGCTGTTACTTGAGGAGGTCATGCTGCTACCTTTGAAATTCTCAAACTTATTTTCAGATAAATCTATAAGCATTCACAGCAAATTTCTACTTGGAAATCAAAATTCATCTACTCAATCAATGTACTACTCTTATATTTTACACTTTGGACACTCAAAACAATCCCAGGAGAGGCTCCCATGATTTTGGTATGTGCCATGGACACCCGAGGAGTCTACGGATTTTGCTCTTATGAACGTGGAATATATAACCTGGCCTGGGGCAGTTATCCAGGCACTCTGTGCTTGGTTGATTATCATCTCAGGAAGTAATGTTCTGAGAAAGAAATGCATTTCCAAAACACATCCTATGTACTACACACCTCCCAGTGAGATAAATGTCACAAGTAAGAGAGAAAGAGGGTGTTATTTCCTTCTTAGTAAAAACTGTATCAGCTTTCTAAATGATGACTACCACCTGGTAAAGCCTCATTTCATTTTTATTAGATCATTCATTAATTTAAACATTTACTGGGCACCGAGGGTCCCAGGCAGTGTGCTAATTAAAAATGAATGAACTACAAGCATTACCATATATATGGTAATAAATATATATGGTATATATATATAGTAATGTCTAGAGTTGTTTATATATAAACAATATAAACACTTCTGGAGTGTAGTGGTGCAATCTCTGCTCACTGCAACCTTCACCTCCCAGGCTCAAGCAAGCCTCCCACCTCAGCCTCCCAAGTAGCTGGGACTACAGGTGCGCACCACCATGTCTGGCTAATTTTTTAATTTTTTGTAGAGATGGGGTTTCACCAAGTTGCCCAGACTGGTCTCAAAGTCCTGACCTCAAGTGATTCACCCACCTTGGCCTCCCAAAGTGCTGGGATTACAGGCATGAGCCACCATGCCTGGCCCATGACCATGTTTTAGTAGCAACAAGAAATCAGATTACAAAGCAATTTAGTTTCCTTTACCATCCAATACGGGAGCTCTATATTCACAAAATAGGGGTGCCATGGACTACAAAACGGGCACAGAACAACTAAATAGGCTCACTCTGACCTGTCTGAGACAGGGAAAAAGCACATAGACTCCCAGGGCCCGCGAGGTTGCAGCTTTCACTAAGCGATTCTTGCTGTCATTCAGTCCGAGCAGCACTGTGATGCACAGGATCTGCCTGTCATTCTGCAATGAGAGGGTTGACAAGGGAAAAATGAGAATGAAATCACTATAAGCCAAAGGCTTCCATGAAAGATGTGAAATATCTGTGTCTGAGACCATATTCAGGAGTTGAACACTACTGCGACCTTGAGGCTACCCTGGTAAACAGCAGGTTCAATTCAGATTCCATGACTACCTGAGCACCCACTTTGTGCAAGACACACACAGCATCTCATCATGTTTAACCTTTATAGCCATGTGAATTAGGTTATTTTTATTCCTCTACCTCATTAAAGTTGCCTTCTTTATAAAAGCTAATTTATGTAAATAAGAATAGACACAAATACCACTGAGGACTAAAGAAAAAAAGCAGTCTGAATTCTGCTATGATCTGAATGTTTATGTTCTCCCCAAATTCCTATGTTGAAATCTTCACTACCAAGGTGATGGTATCAGGAGGTGGGGCTTTTGGGAGGAGATTAGGTCATGGGAACAGAGCCCTCATGAAAGAGATAAGCACCTTTATGACTGAGGCCCCAGAGAGCTGCCTTGCCCCTTCTGCCACATGAGGACACAGCTCATATGGTGCCATCTGTGAGCCAGAGAGCGAGCCCTCCTGAGGCATGAAATCTGTGTCTGTCAGTGATTTGATCTTAATTTCAGCCTCCAGAACTATGAGAAATACATTTCTGTTGTTTAGAAGCTACCCAATTTACGGTATTTTGTTATAACAGCTCAAACAGACTAAGACAAATACTGTATGTGCTGGGCACAGATCTAAGTATTTTCACATACTTTGTTATTTTTCACATGACTGCCATCTTATTGATGGTAACACCAAGTTTTAGAGAGGTTAAGAGTCAAAGAGCTGGCAAGTCGAAGAGCTGGGATTTAACTCAAGGCCTTTTTAACTTTGGATATGAAATCTTCCTGAAGTCTATCTGCCTTCCAAACTTCTGCTACCCTTGCCTCTACCACCCACATTCCAATGTACAGGGGGAAACAGCTTTCCTGATATATTAAGGCTTCAAGTTTTCCTATTTGCTGTTCCCCAGTGCCCTCGTCCCCAACTCAGGTAGAACAAATACCTTTTCATCAGAGATAATGCTGAATACTGGTTCAAAATGCAAAACAATCAAATTCTAGCTCTGGTGCTCAAGCCATCATTTAAGGGTGAGAAAACACCCTCATGTTACCGGCAGATTGCTGAAGGCCTCTGGCAAGATGGAAGACAGGGCATCACAGGCGCTCGCCTGGAGAGTTGGGTGCTCCGAATTCTGCAGGGCTCTGGGTAAAGGACCATTCAGCATCATAGTCCAGAACATCACCACCTGGAATGGAGGCACAGGAAAAGCTGCAGCCCAAGACATAACAGGGGAACCAACTCGGAGCTAAGCAGAGCAGAAATGATGGCCTTAGTAGTGAAACACCTTTCCTTAAAGTAGCAGCTTTCTGTAAATGTTTTCATTGGTTCTTCTTCCACAGTGATGAAAAGAGCTTTAGAAAACAACTGCAGTGTGTAAGCCTTCCATTCAATACCTATTGATTAGGAGACTGCAGGCTGATAAAGTTAGGCAGCAACAGTGATAATAATCAAGAGGAGGCTGAAGATGGTGATGACAGTAACAGCAATAGCAGCCGCAGCTAATGCTCTTCAGAGCCCATCTCATGCCAGGCATTGTTCTAAGTATTTTATAGTTACCGACTCATTTCATTCCTTGGCACAAATAAATGGAGCCTGTATCATTATCCCTACTTTTTCACACAAGGAAACTGAGGCTCAAAGAGACAATACAACTTGCTAATCAGCAGCAGGGGTGAACTAGAATTCACATCAGTTGACACTCAGCTAGGGCCTTTTCAACTACTTTGCAGAGTCTGTGTGATAATAAAATGTAATACTCTGTGTAAGGTTTCTAGCACGGGGCCTGGTACACAGTGGACACTCTTAAACTGGGTAGTAGGTTCTGCTTTAAGCACTTTGAAGAACTACCTCATGTCATAGCCTCTAACACAGCCACGTAAACAGTTTCCTTTCCATGCTTCTTACGTATCCTGTGATTTCATGTTCATTTGCTAATCTCTGTGGTTTTCGTATGTTTTTCGTTTCTGTTCCATGGACCTAGTCCTGGGTTTTGCTGTATATTTCATGCACCAGTTCTATCTTTCTCCTACTTTAGCTCCTGAAAACCCAGTCTGGGCCCTCCCTGCCCTACTCCAGAAGAATGTGGACAGAAAGTGGTTGCCAGTCTCCAGGATGGCCCACAATTACACTCACCTACTAATATTTACACCCTTTTGTAGTCCCCTCCACGTTGAACAGGCTGACCTGGGTAACCAACAGGATGTTGTGGAAATGACAGCATGAAACTACTTCCAAAGCTAGGTCATAGAAAGCACCACAGCTCTGGCTTGCTTGCTTTCCCTTGGATCACCTGCTGTGAAGGAGCCTGGCTGCCAGGTCAAGGGGATGCTCAAGCAGCCCTCTGGAGACGCCCTCACAGGGAGGAAATGAATTGAGGCCTTCTGCCAACAGCCAACACTAATTTGCTAGGTCTACAGGTGAGCCACCCTGGAAGAAGATCCTCCAACTCCCTCAAGTCTTGCAGCCCGTCAGTTGACTGCAACCCTGGGGGCATCTTGTTCCCAACCTCATGCAAGAACTAAGCCAGAATCACTCAGCCAAGCCACTCTTAATTCCTGACCCACAGAAACTGTGAAAAAATAAACGTATACTGTTTTAAGCTGCTAAATGTTTAAAGTTAATTTATTACTCAGTAATAGACAAGCAATACAGAAAACTTTTTTTTTTTTTTTT